TAGGGTAATTCTAATTAAATTTGTATAGATTCTCCCCACCTAAGTCTTCTTCTCTATTATTCTCTCTGTCCCTTTCATATCACTATCCTAACACTTAAACTTTAGATAATATTAACTAAAGAATGAGAAGAATATCATACTAACACATAAAATAGATTTTAGTAAAATCATAGAAGAAAAATCTCCAGAGTTGAAAAGAGGCCCATGCAGGTCCAAGAGGCCTACAGCACTCCAAATAGACATGACAGAAAAGAAACTCCCTAGGACATATTATAGTTAAAACATTAAGAAGAGAATAAAGGATATGGAAAGGGACTTTTAAGAGAGAAAGGTCAAGTCACTTACAAAGGCGGGAAAATCAGAATAGCACCTGATTGTTTGACATTTAAATTCAGAATGGACTGGAAAAAATGTATTTCAAGTTCTGAAAATCCAAAACTGTCAACTCTGACTACTATACCAACAAAACTTATCTATTAAAATTGAAGGAGAAATGAAAATCTTCTATGATGAATACAAATTAAAGAAATTTCCTCCCTGAAACCTGTTCTTCCCCTTCCCCACCAATACTCCCTTTTCTACTTTTCTGAATTCCATGGGTTTTCCATGTCAAACACACGAATCTAAAGATTTTATGTTAATATTCACAAATAAAATGTTTGATTCTCTGGGTCTTTGTTACCTCATGCAACGTGTTTTTCTTTTTCTTGCTAAATAAAATTCCATTGTGCCTAGGGGCCAGATTTCCAGTATCCACTTATCAATTGATGGACACCTAGATTAATTCTATTTCTTAGCTGTTGTGATTTGAATGAGAAACATTTCCCCATAGACTCATACACTTAAACCCTTGGTCCCATTTGCTGTTTCTGAGGATGCTAAGGAACATTTAGAAGCAAGAGCCTGGCTAGACGAAGTACATCTCTGTGGACAGGCTTTGGGGGTTTTATAGCATTGCTTTAGTTCTTGCTGCCCTTCTCTGCTTCCTGTGCATGACTAAGGTGTGTTCTTTCAGCTGCCTGCTCCTGCTACCCTGAGTTCTCTACCATTATGTCCAAACCATCATCCGAGATAAACCCTTTATTAAGCTGCTTTGGGTCATGATATGTTATCACAGTAACAGAAAAGGAACCAGCTGTTGTGTTGAGCACACTATGAATGTGGATGTGCACTTGTCTCTGGAGTGGAGAGCAGGGTCCTTAGGGTATGTACTCAGAAGTTGTCTAGCTAGGTCAGATTGTCACCTAGTTGTAGTTTTTTGAAGAACTGCCACACTGATTTCCACGGTGGCTCTAACAACTGGCACTCGCATGAACAGTGCATTGGGGTTTCCGGTTCCCTACATTTCGAGAGCATTTGTTGTCTTTTGTTTTAATATGACTTGAGTAAAATGAAATCACAACGGAGTTGTGATTTGCCTTCTCCTGATGCTAATGGTGGCAAACACTTTGAATTTTGTCTCAGCCATTTGTATTTCCCTTCACGAGAAAACTTTCTTCATGACCATTTCCCATTGTTTAATTGTGTTGCTTTTGGTATTTAGGATTTATTGTATATTCGAAACACTCATAGCTTTGTCAGATGTATATATAGCTGGCAAAGATCTCTTTTCCATTCTATAGGCTATCTCTTCAACTGATTAACAGTCTCCTTTGCAGTACGGAAACTTTCTAGATTCATGAAGTCACACTTCTTGATTGTTGCTCCTATGTCCTGATTTACTGGAAATTCTATTCAGAAAGTCCTTACCTGAGCCTATATCCTTAAGTGTATCCCCTACTCTTTCTTCTAGAAGTTTTGGAGTTTTTTGGAGAGCAAAAAGACAAGTAAAAGGCAGCAAGGGGATGCGAATGAGAGGAAGAATCAGAGTCTCCCTACTTGCAGATGATATGACTCTCTATATAGTTTAGCTGAGAAGTCAGGGGTATTATTCTGACAGGTCTGCCTTTGTTTGTGACTTGGCATTTCTCATTTGCATCTTTTAGTAAACCTCCTTTGTTCTGTACACTTAGTGTTTCAACTGTAGAAATGTTTCTTTTCTAGTCCTGTTTGGTACTTTGTAGATGTCTTATACCTGAATGAATGTCTATCCCTCTCAATTTGAGATTGAGTGCTCTATTCTGTCTTCATACACCGATAGTCTATCTTCTACATGATCATCCTACTGGTGAAAGATTTGCTGACGATTTAATTTGATCTAGTGCGTTTTTCATTTCCATCACTATTTTCGCTTGAGTTTTCTTAGGTATGTGTATCTCTTTATTAAATTCTATTTTCATATCGTGTATTGATTGCCTCATTTTGTTCAGCTGTCTGTGTTCCCTTTGAAAGTATTTGAGTCCTATTTGAGATATTTTTACATATGTATAATTACTGTTTTGAATTCTGCACCTGGAGTTTTGTCCAACTCATTTTGACCAGGGGTCATTTGTATGGGGTTGGTTATTTTTGGATGCAATAAGCTGTTTTGGGTTTTCATGTTACTTGGATTTTTGCACTGGGATCAGCCTTTTTGGGGTTGCATTGTTGGTTAAGAATTACTGTATTTTATTTGGTTGCCTCTCGTCTTCCAGTGAGTTCGTTTGCAATACTCAGGGGAAATTAGGTTGTTGCTGTTGTGGGATGTTTTCATCGGTTAGACTAGTGTTCCAGGCGTCAGACTCTATATCCAGTCTGAGGGTTGATTACTGTCTGAAGCACCAATCACCACCCAGTAGTTAAAGCAGTCTGATAATGGAGTAGAAAGTGACTACAAAGCAGACACTTATTGAGTACTGATTACTTTAGGGAATAAAGGAGCCTCACAGTATACTGTATATACTGATATGTTAGTATGAGCAGAATGGAAAAGAAAAGGAGGAGAGGTGAATAATCCCATTGGATCTAGTGATGAGTATTCTGTTGTTACATTGGAAGTAGAGGAAGGGGCATCCATCGGAGTTGGAATATTCGGAACAAAGAAAAAACGAGGTTAATATTTGGGAGTTCTGATTAATGGCAGCCTAAAAAGAGGCAGTAAGAATGCGTATCCCAATGCTGTAAACAGGGTCAGCCTCTGGGCTTTAGGAGATGGAATCCTAAGGAATGGATAAGGGGAAAAAGGAAAAAAGCAAAAGAGCGTGTAAAACAGCAAAAGGTGTGAACAGTAGGGGACAGTGTTGGCCTGCTAGAATGCCTACTGCGACAGATAAGAACTAGCCGGGGAAGAGGGAGGAGAGTTGGATGGAGGTCCTGAATGTTGATTTGTGTTCTCTTTGTCACAGCCACTGCTTTTTCTCCCTGGTTCTGGCCCTGGTCATGTTCTGGGTTGATTTTTTTTTTACCAGTTCAGTTCTTCCCTGGTGGGCTCCCAGATCGTCTTGTATGTAGACTTTCCTTGCCTCTGTTCTGTGGACTGTGAGTAGCTAAGGCAAACTCCGTCTAGCCACACTCACTGCCTGCACACAAAGTCAGATGCAGCTGCTGGCTGAGTGATGCCTACAGCACCAGTTAGAGCTTCGCTTAGCTTCCATGGCTTCACCTTTTCCTATTGGGGCACTGATGGTGGCCCTGGCAGCCGTCACTGGGAAGCCCTTCTGTGAAATGCCTACCAACACCACTTTTGTGGATATCCTGGTAGGGTTTGTTTAGCCTGTTTTACATGGAGTAAAATGTCCACACGGTGGTGGCAGCTGCACTGGTTGTAATCGCAGCAAGTCCAAGTCACTAGTGGAGATATTCCGTCGGTCCCATGGTTATTTGAGTTTTGTTGGGGTTCCGATCAAGTAGACACTAGGACTGGAGGAGAAGCTGACTGATGAAATGATAACATATTTCGAGTCTTTTAATTCCTAACTGATAAGCTGTACAAGCTCCAGCATGGCTTCTCATCCACCATCTTACCCAGAAGTCCTGCTTACTGATTGCTTTCATTTCCAGCATGATTTCAGTGTGGCTTTTCTTCACTAATTTTATGTCTTTATTAAATTCTATTTTTATGTCTTGTACTGACTTTTTATTTTATGCATCACTCTTGTGATGCATATCCTTGTCTTTTTAAGGTGTGTAGACTCACTTATAATCATTCTTTCCAGTTCTTTCTCTGGAAATTCTTCTCAGTTCCACTGGGGTCCATAGTATGGGATGAGTTATTTTTGTGGAGATATGTTTTCTTGGATTGTCACATTATTTTTATATTTCTGCACTGAGACTTGAGCACCTGAAGTTAGTCCATTGAATTAGAAGTATGGGCTGGGGGCCGATACTCCAGAGATTGCCTACATTTTAAGCCTAAGAGTTAGGGGATCGACAGAAGTGTAGCTGGGGCTCTCTGGGGACTCCTTACCTGTGGGCTTCAGAAACTAGTGGATGACAGAAGTTTCTTCTGGGGGCTTGGGGTCCTAGGTCCTGTCAACACAGAGCTCAGGGAATAGCCAAATGCTCAGGACCCAGGGACCGATGCCTTACCTGTCAGTGCCTGGAAAGGCAGAAGTTTGGACCTGGTGTCTACTGTCTTATAAGCCAAGCAACACACCCCCTCCAAAATATTTGGGTAATTTGTTCTTCCTAGTACTCTTAGGAGCAAAGATTCTTAGCCCATCCATTACACTCTCATCTGAGAAGGACTAATCCCAAAAAGACATTTTCTTGTGTCGTTGGATTTATATTGTATTAGGTAACCCCTGAACTAGAGCTGACTGACCCAATGTGAAAACATTAACCAAGTAAATTCTCTTCTATACCTATCACTAAGAAATGCTAGTAAACCTGTTTCAAGTCCATCACTTGGGAAGTGGGGTGAAATGGGGCTCAAGCGGGAACGGGATCTATTTCATCATATGTACAGGGAAAATAAAACAAAGAAAGAAGGATGTGTAGTTGGAGAGAGGACAGGGAAGGCAGGATATGTTTCAAAAGTGAGACAGAAGGAGGGGGAAGATGAATGTTGATGCTATTGTGAAAGATAAGGGCTCTAGGTCTCATGGTTTCTATCACATACGCTGTCTACCTCGCTTTTCCAGGTTCCTGTGCTCAACAGTGGAAGACTTTGTGACTGATATTGTAAAGGCCTGGGACCAAATCAAACAGAACAATACAGCAGTGGAGTCTGTGATTTTGAAAGTAAGTTTCCCTTCCTAGTGTCTCACCTCTGTGGGAGCCAGGTCTCACTTTTTCGAGTAAAACAATGGGAGATCATCAAGTATTGGCAAAGGCGAATAGCTGGTACATCTGCGGATGAGGAAAGCCCAATCTCCTTCCTTCATCTTTGCCAAATGAAGACTGGTACTTTGCATGCATACACACACGCCATGTACCTAGGTATAAGCCAAGAATCTGACCATAAATAGACACAAGTGTACATTAAGCATCAATGAGTGGAGTTAATATACCAAAGCATGCACGAAAATCTACGCATTTAAACCCCCAAAGGGTGGCAATGCAACTCAGTTAGTAGATGCTAGTTAACACGTATGTATAAGGCCACAGGTTCGAGCCCCAGCATATATGCATATGCCAGAAATACGCCAGGCTTGGGATATGGCTCAACAGCTAAAGTACTTCCTGTGGAAACGTGAAAGCTGGGGTTTGGATCCCCAGTAAGGGTGAACATAATAATTCCAGCACTAGAAAGTGGAGACAGGGACCCCAAGAACAAGCTGGCTGGAGACAATGAATATCAGGTGTTGCAGGAGGTCCTTCCGTTCCTCCAGCCTATAGCCGCTGAGAGACCAGTTGGATACAGAGATCTTGCTCAATGAATCTGGTGGAAGAATGATTTGAGGATAATCCTGACAGTGACCTCAGGGCTCCACTCTCCCCCCACACACGAACACTCACTCACTCACATACATGGACATGCACACCACGCACACATTTAAAAATGGAAAACGCACACCTCCTGTAATAGTACCTAACACGTGGCACACACTTTGTGTCAGAGCTTGTTCTGAGTGCTCTAATGTACCATGTTATTTAATTCTCACCGCTGACCTAAGGCATGGAGGAACAAAGAGGTCAAGGAACTTGTCTCACACCACAAACTACTAAAGCAGCTGCTCTCAACCTGTGGATCACGACCCCTTTGGGGAGTTCAGCAACCCTTTCACAGGGGCCACATATCAGCCGTCCTGCATATCAGATCTTTACATTGTGATTCATAATAGTAGCAAAACTATAGTTATGAAGTAACAGCGAGATGACTTTATGGTTGGGGGGTCACAGCAGGAGGAACTGTATTAAAGAGTCGCAGCGTTAGGAAGGTTGAGGACCACTGAGCTAAGTTAAGCTTAAATCACGTCCCAAATGCACGTCCTTGAAATATGTACGTGTGAGGACAGACACAGACGCTATGCAGAGGTACACCAGCATCCATAGGAGCATGCCTCTGAATATACCTACATGAAGATGTGTCTATTTCGTCATTTTATCCATGTTCCACATAAATTAAAGGGCCAGCCCGACATGAGAAAGGCTGTGTGAAACATGCATAGGTGCCCAAAGCTGCTCAGAAACAAAGACTTGATTACTCCCCTAGTCTTCTTTGGGTGTTGGTACAGCGTGGACTTCATCACCTCACATATGGATTTCTAGGTTGAGTGTTTCTGCCCAGCCTTCCCCTTACCATCACTGTTCCTCATTCTGGCCTTCGTAACAATATCCCATTTTTTTCTCCGCTCTGTAGAGTGACTTGATGTATGATAAACTCAGCACCATTATTGATATCCTGACTGAGGATGAGGAACTTGCCTCTATGGAGCGACTAGCCTCAACATACAGATCCCATGAGAAAACAGATCCAGAGCCCTTCGTCCCTCAACTAGACCACTTCACAAAGTCCAAGCTGGAGGTGGTTGTCAAGGCTCACGACCTCCAGAAATCCTTGAAGCTCATCATATTCCAGGTGGAACAAGGTAAGATTCTTAGCGCTATTGGGACCGGGAAAGATGGGGACAAGTGCAGGTTTCGCCTATGAATGGTTTAATGATCTCCTTTAGTCTGGGTTTGCCAACTGGTCTCACTGACAGCACTTAGCTGGATTCGATGTTCAGGTTGCCTTCCAAATCAGTCCTCTGGCTGCTGATTTGAAAAGCCTCCGTATAGATAATGCTGTCTCTTTGACTTCTCCTTCCCTAGCCTTCGGTTCCCATACTTAGCTATTTTGGGAGCTGACACTCACCCTTAGCAGCTACACATGATGTAAGTAACACCGCTGAAAGCTCTGTCAGCCTCACTTCTGGCCATGGAAGCTTTTCTATCTTTTCCTGCCATTTCAGCCGCCAGGGCTAATCAGCAGCCTGTGGCTGTTTGAAAAGCAAACGGTGTGCGTGTTTACAAGTCCTGCACCATGTAATCCGACCATGAGATTGGTCCCACTGGCTTGCCAGTAATTGCCATTGCCCAGAATTCTTGACACTCTCCAAACTTGCAGCTTAGGATGAAGTTCTAAACTGGCCCAACGTCCTCATCTAGCATTTTTGATGGCCACTTTATCTCCATAATGCTCCTTTGGAAAATAAATAAAGAAAATGCTGTGAGATAAATTACATTCTAACTGAGCTGTTAGAATTAAGCAGAAGTCCCCCCAGAACACAGAATTCTTTCCTGCTAGCCTTTGGTGTTTATCCGTGGCACCTTCCCCTGCCTTGGTACCTTTAGAAGAAACTTTAGCGATGTTTCTAAGAATAGACAGCTCCCCTTTGTACTGTTAAATGATGTGGGATTCCCCTCTGTATGCTGCGAATACCATTGTTAATAAAGAAGCTGCTTTGGGCCTATTGCAGCACAGAATAGGACAAGGAAAAAATTCCAAGCAGATAGAAGAGGAGAGAGTAGGCCGAGTCAGGGAGACACCATGTAGCCACCAGAGGAGGCAGACGCTGGATGGAAGGCCACAACCACGTGGCAATACACAGATTAATAGAAATGGGTTAATTTCAGTTATAAGAGTTAGCCAGAAATATGCTTAAACTATTGGCCAAGTGGTGTTGTAGTTAATACAGTTTCTGTGTAATTATTTCGGGTCTGGGCGGCCGGAATGAACAAGAAACCTCTGCCAACAGTGGAATAATTAAATAATCTTTTTCTGTTTCTATAGTTAGTCTTCAGGGATTAAACAATCATTTTGTCTCTCTTTCTGTAGTAATGAAGATCAAATTAGTTTGACTTGCCCATGGCTCTGTCATAACCCATCTTTACATGTTCCCTCAATACATGTTACATAAAGACTTGGCAGTAAGGTAGTGAATGAACATGTGAGCTTTGGCACGAGCTGAACACATGGGCTGTACCACATATGGGCTCAACACAGGCTGAACCCATGTGCTGTGCCACACATGAGCTGATGAAAAAGATAGTAACCTCTCAAATGTCCTGGGGTAGTGGGGTGAGACATTTGAACCAAGAGCACTGGGCCAGGAAGATGGCTCAGCGCAGAGTATACTCACTGTGCACAGCTAACAACCTGAGCTTGAATCCCCAGAACCCATGTAAAAGCAGGATGTGGTAACAGACACATCTGTAAAGTCAGTGTGCCTCTATGGGGGAAATGGGAAGAAGAGACAGGAGAATCACTGGAAGCTTGCGGGCTAGTGGGCTAGCAGCAATAAACAACAGGAGCTATCTTATCTCAAGAAAGGTGGAAAATGAGAACGGATTCTGACGTTGTCTCTGACTTCCACATGTATGTTGTGGAATGCAAGTGCCTGCACACACACACACACACACACACATCATACACATACACCATGCATACACACATTTCACATACACATGCGTACACGTGCATAGCATAGTCCTAGAGGTTCGAGTCTGCACAGATGGCATGTGAGAATATATGCTAACAAAATGAAGGTAGCCAGGGATAGTGACTTCCACCCAGGTGTGGAAAACATCGCACCCCTCCCAAGCATCTACTCACAACTATTATGTGCTGTGGGGATGACAGAAACAGAGTAACAGAGAAAACAGAATGTTCTAGCATGGATCTTAAGAGACTTGGAAATGACGCCATAAAGAGTGTGTGAGCAGAACAGGCATCATGATGGAAAACGGGAGAGGAGTCTAAGGAGTCTACCTACATAGCAAAGGTCCAGAAACTGTTGGATAAATGGGACCAGTCTCCCTCCATCTTTTCATCTCCACTTCCTTCCCTCCCTCTTTCCCTCCATTTCTTCCTTCTGCTTTTCCTCGATAGTTCTGGATGAAGAAAGCAGACAGTCCTTATCAGTGAAGAACTTCACATCGAGTTTCTACCTGGGAGAAGATGACTCAGAGGAGTTCAGTCAGATGAGCCCACGACACCGTAAGGATCTTGGTTCTCCCATTCTAGCCTTTGCTGCTGCCTGCTTTCCAGGGAAGAAATCTGTTTGCATGCATCTGACTTTATATGTGAGCCCACTCTGTACTGGGGAGTCTTCACTCTTGTCTACAAACTCCGCACTGGGTCACACCAGCACCCACAGCAGTGATCATGTTAGACACTTGGAAACTAGCGTTCTGAGGAGAGCTGTGATGTGAATTAGTTTTTACTGCCAGGCAGCCAGCGCCTCAGCTTTACCCTCTCCTCAGTGAAAGTCCCTCTCCTTCTAAAAGGATCTGAGGGGCCTCTGTGGTGTGAGAACACTGAGACATTTATTTAGATAGAAACCATGACGCTTGACTCGAACCCACCTGGGGAAGCATAACTAGTTACAAGTGGGGAGAAAGGCTATTTGTCTGCATCTGTCTCCAAGGTGATGTTTCTCCTGTTTAGGTTCTTACTGTAGCATCTTATCATCTGTGCTGTCTCTCCAAAGCGAAGACCTCAAAAAACTTGACTTAGAACACTTACATTTTACACCTGAAACGATGTAAGTATGCAAGTGAATGACCTTTGAATGGCTTTTCTGTCTCTCTGGCTGGTAACACAGTCTCACCATATCCAGAGTCGAATTCTGATTCTACTTAACTAATTGTGTGACCTACCCAATTCAAATGGAATGAAAATAATTACTGGACTCTGCACATAAGCTTCTTCTATTTGTTGCCACTAAACGTGAAAAGTACTTGCACTGAGCTGTGGAGTTGATACTCACACATAAGTGCTGTAGGCATTAGCAGTTACTGTCATTATAAACACATAGCATGTTAGTTATTCAGAGGACTTACTTTCTCAGTGTTACTTTTACCTGTAAATGGTTGAAGGTACCAAAAACTGGTCATGTAGGGGACTGGATCAAAAATCCAAGGACACTTTTTCCCCCAGTCCTACCTCTCCAACAGAGCTCCGCAGCCAAATTCTACCACACTTAGGAAACCCTAATTTCTCACTGTGGTCAAGTGAGGTGAAACTGATGTACGTTTTGTGATTCCTTTAAATCCCCCTATGCTCGAACAGCCAAACTGTACCCTTTTCAGTTTCTCAAAAGAAGGACACACACAGCAAACGTTCCTTAAATAGTTTATTTACGAAAACAATTCTATCCCGGTGTCTGACAGTCTCCTCCCCAAATCCTTCATCTCATCATTCATGTTTGAGGGCTCATGGGTCTGCCTTGTGGGTTGGATAAGCAGTGCCCTGGCCAATGTGTAACACCAGCTGTGCAAAAGGACTGACTGATTTATTCCTGGTGTAAGCCCTCCCACCATGGCCTCATCCAAGCAACGGAGATGTCTTTGAGTACAACATTGGGAATAAGTATGCACAGCTTTCATGGGATGATGCCAACTAGTTCTAGAATATTCTAGTGCTGCTATTGACACCCTAGATGAACACAAGAGACTGGAAACTGCCTGTTTCACTGTTGCTGTCCCTCCTTTACCAGACTTTTCTCTCAAATGTGAGACATTTTCTGGTGAGAAAGTGCCACAGTGGAGTCAGGCATCCCTGAGAATAGTCACGTAGACTAATGTATACTCATCAAAATACATTCGCAAGTAAGACACACAAAAAATAGTTATGGGAATGTGGAAAAACAGGACTCATATCTGAGGGCTACAAATGTAAATAAGATTGCAAATTTTGCTTCCTTAATGTGAGCCATATCCCTCTAAAGCTTCCAGACTAAGGGACATTTTCCAGTTCTGGGACATGTCCCAGTTCTAAGGGGTGTTCTCCCTTAGAACTAACAAGTTACTCTTGGACACAGAAAGACTCCCTATATACTTTTCATGAACTGTATGGCTTGTACCCAGTGGAGGAGACCTTCCCTTGGTGGTGATTTTTTTTGTCATGCAGATGAAGTCTGATGCTTGTAGCCGTAGTATTTCTTTCCTGTTTTAGTGTCTGCCTTCTTCCCTGTCCAATTTCAGACGCTTCAAAGAAAAGTGTGTCATGAACAACTACTTTGGAATTGGACTAGACGCAAAAATTTCTCTGGAGTTCAATACCAAAAGAGAGGAACACCCAGGAGAATACAAGTAAGGGGAAGAGACTCAGCTCTCTGTATAAATACATACAATCATGATACAATATGTATTCCTACATCGAACAAGCAATGAAAAGACTGAGGTCCTTGGGAAATAAATGCATTGGTCTCAAGACTACCCTAGTGCAGACAGTGTATCCTGAAGGCTGGGTGCTCTGTGATAATCACCCTGCCATCATACATCCGTACTTCCATTCAGTAGTTCACCCATGGAGATTTCTGTGTAAATATAGCTACCTCTATTACTGTTGTTGAGAATAGATTGCATTGAACTTTATGGTGTTTCTAAGAGATTAACTGAGTCCTTGTAGGGGGCTCCAGATCTATTTTTACTTGACAGGGCTTCACAGTATCTAATATACTTCTATTGCTTCTTGGTATTCCAGATTGGGCCCTTTGGACCCACTGATTAGTATTGCCCTACCTGGCACCTTCTGGTAGTTTTATCCTACAGATATCCCTTAAGGCAGCTTCACAGTTCTTATAAATGTGTAAGTTAAAAGGACTACCCCAAGCCTGCATGGGACTGGCCTAGCCCCTCTGCATATATGTGACAATTGTGTAGCTTGGTCTTCACTGGGAGCATGGGCTGTCTCTGACTCTTTTGCTGGCTTTTGGGGACCTATTCCTCATACTGGGTTGCATTACCCAGTCTTAATACAAGGCAAGGTGCCTAGTCTAACTGCAACTTAAGATACCATGGTTGGTTGATATCCATGGGAGGCTTGCCTTTTCTGAATAGAAACAGAGAAATGAATGAGGGGTAGAGGGGAGGCGGGAGTGGGAAGAGAGGAGAGAGGGAAAACTGGTTGGGATATAAAAACAAACAAACAAGTAAATATTTTTAAAAAGGACCATCCCACCCCTGCCACTGCCGCTGCCATTAGAATCTCTTTCTCAGAAAAAAGCCTGGGATGTGAACAAAGTATGTTACCAGATATGTGATTTACAAAGTTTATTAGTATCCTTTCATTTTCTTAGGGGTAACTTTTTAAGTATAAAAATTTTGAATTTACAAGGGCTAGTTATTTTTTTTCTTTATGGACCATGTCTTTGGTATACTAATCTAACTCACGCTCTGAAAGTGTTTTCTTCCAAAATTTTATTGCTTTGGCTCTTACTTTTAAGTCTGTGATGTATTTTGAGTTATGATTATTTGGGAGACGAATGGTGTGAGCTAATGCTCTAAATTCATCCTTTTGCATCTTTAGTCAGTGTTCTGTTGCTGCCACGACCAAGGTGGCTCTTACATAAGGAAGCATTTAATTGGGGCCTTGCTTACAGTTTCAGAATTTTAGTTCATTATCATCCTGTCAGGGAGCATGGTGCTGAAGAAGTAGCTGAGAGTTCGGTATCCTGATCCACAGGCCAAACGAAAGAGAGAAACACTGGCCTGGGTGTGGGTTTTTGAAAACATCAAAGCCTACCTACCCGCCCTCCCCCACACACCGTGATACACTTCTTCCAACAAGGCCACATCTCCTCTAACAAGGCCACACCTGCTAATCTTTCTAAACCTATCAAAGTGTTCCACCCCCATCCCTAAGCATTCAAATATGTGAGCCTATGGGTGGCATTCTTAGTCAAACCACTGTAGACACCTCATTTATCAAAGTATCACAATTTTTCAAAAAGTTACCATTTTCCCAATCAATTGTGTTACCTATACATACATTAGAACATTGGCAACCTACCAGAGAGGATAAAAAAGTGAAGTGTGTCCCAGAAGAATTGGTTGGAGAGGAGAATAAAGGGTGACTATAACAGAAATTCATTGGTGCATGTATGAATTTCTCAAAGAATACATTTAAAGTATAATTTAAAAAACAAAAGGCACTTGAAAAATACGGCGTTTTCCCTTCCTGTCTTTCCCTACCCACTGACCTATCTATCATCCACCTCTGACTGTCTTTTTCTACTCCTCTCTCTGTAGCAGCCGCATTAAGAACAAAATATGGTATGGTATTCTGGGAAGCAAGGAACTGCTGCAGCGCTCTTACAGGAAGCTGGAAGAACGAATACAGCTGGAGGTTAGTAGAAAAGGGCCTGTTTCCTGGGCACGGAGAAAGGAAACCATGTGACCTCAGAAATCACCTTTCCACTATATCTTTGGTTCTTCTCAAATTAAACTCTGGGAGCCTCACTGACAGCCAAGGCGACAAGGCACGGGGTTTGATTTCTGTCATAGATAAGAAAAGGATAGTATGAAGAGAAGCCCAAGCTCCTCCGCATCTCTGTAAAGGATCGTTGTGCTGGTATCTGAAAAGTCAGGCAATAAGAGCAACTCTTCTCTTTCAGTGTGACGGAGAACCCATCTCCTTGCCAAACCTTCAAGGCCTTGTAGTGCTCAATATTTCCAGCTATGCTGGAGGTGTGAACTTCTGGGGAAGCACCAGAGCAACCACGGTGAGTGTGCGATGAGGAACGGGGTGGGAAGGAGACTTGACTCTCCTAAGTTGTCTCAGAAAGGATTACTGGACTGGCTAGAATGCACGTAGACAGTGGGGGAAGATGAGATAGGCTTTGAGTCCGTATTAGCAGTGTCTGTAGGTTCAGCTTTTTAAAACAGTTGCCATTCCAGAGCACGAGAATCAACCAGGAACCTCAGAATTATGTCACGTGATCTCTGGGTTTTGACTTTCCCTTTACTAAGGCCCAAAAGACACTCAGAAGATTACCCCCAGAGGCCATGTTCTTCATCCCTTAATGTCAGTAAAACCATCTCCTGGGAAGCGAGCCATGAGCTCTTTGCTCTGAGTTCATCTTAGAAGTTCAGGAAACTGACAGGAGTGGCCTTGGAGATTCATGATGCTGGACTGGACAGGGAAGGAATTGGCTAATTTGTGATCTCCACAGGAGCGCACATGTATTGCAAGCACAATTCCTGTTTCCAGCCTTGGCTTCCTCACGTTATTTTTCCCCTTTAATATAATTTTCTCACTTCTTCATGTACTAGATATACTAGGCAAAGTTTTACCAGTAGTCCTCAAAGCACATTTATTTATTATAGACAAAGTATGGATTCTTGGGAGAATTGTGACAGGATTCTTCCTCCCTAGGAATATGAGGCCCCTGCGATGGACGATGGGAAGCTAGAGGTGGTGGCAGTCTTTGGTTCTATGCAGATGGCCGTGTCTCGTCTCGTCAACATGAATCATCATCGAATCACTCAGGTAAGTGAAGGTTGGGCGGATGAAAAGGGGAGGAAATGTCTCGCTTCAGCCCAAGGATGTGCGGTGAGCCTAGCAATCACCTGGATGTAGGAGTTCCTGGGGAGTGGAAGTAGGCAATCTATTAGACAGTTAGGTGGTGAAGATAGAGATGGCAGGGACCAAAAGCACAAAAGGCTCATAGGTAATACATGATCCATCTCCCTGGAATGATCTGATTCATAGATTCTGCCAGTGTCTCTTCAAATAAACACTCACACTGTGACCAATAACAGATTAGCCCACAGTACTTTCCTCATTTTTCCTTTTTGTCCTCTCTCTCCTTTTCTGGTAGTGCCATGAGGTGATGATAACTATTATTGGTGAAGAAGGTATCCCTGTGCAGGTGGATGGGGAAGCCTGGATTCAGAAGCCAGGCATTATCAAGATTAAATACAAGAATTCTGCCCAGATGTTGATGAGAGATCGGGTAAGCGGAAAGTTCTACTTGAGCGCCTACATTGCCTCCTCCACAGCTACCACATTCTAGGCAAGAATTCCCCAAGGGAGCTCTGTGTGCCTTCCTTATCAGGCACCTTGAGTGACGGTTAGAAGTGCATACTCCTAGGTCCCACACCAAACTCTCTGAACTGAATGGAAAGAGGGGACTCCTGAGAGCTAGCATTTATAAACAAGCTCCCTGAGACATTTTTACTAATGTAAAAAGTTGCAAGACACTATCTGTCTCTCAACAAGGTTGTCCTTGTAGTCCTGCACTGCGCAGAAAACTAAAGACCCATGGTGGTGGAGAAGGCTACTCTCTCAATAACAGTTCCTTCATTGAATATGTTCTCTTTGAGCTTCATAAGATTCCTTAATATTGCGTTTAGAGATGTCACCCATTTCTTCTAAATAAAAAACTACAGTGATAGAAAATATATCATTATTGATCACTTGTTCAAACTTTGGGGTTATCTTTTGAATTGTGAACATAAATATATCAGTAGTAGGGAGGGAATACCTACCTAATAAAATGCCAATATGGTGCTGGGCACATTGCATCTATTGTCTGACGTAGGTCCTCCCAAAACCCCTATAAGGAAGATGAAATTCCTTCCATGTTGAGAGCTTAAATACCTTATGCATAGTCACATACCTAGTAAATAAAAAACAATAGGATTGAAAAAAAATTGTATTTCTGAATCTAAATCCCATCACAACATAATATATACCTTTGGAAAAGAATGAAACCAAAAAGGTGTTCTTCTGTCTTATCCATCACCATGTTCTCATAGCTTCTAGAAGGCAAATATTTTGCTTCATTCAAGACTGGTGTCTCACTAGCCAGTATACTAACAATAAAAACTAAACTGCCTTACAAAGAAGATACACTGACTAAAAAGACAAGGTGTATAAATAGGTGCGTAAGGTGAATGGATAGGTATGTCTTCACTTCTCTTTCCCACCTATGTATACCCCATGATACCTACAGAATGCCATACTCATTGACAAATCTGCCACATGTCCTCAAAGCTACAACAATCATTATGCTTTGCCTTTACATTCGTCTCTAGGACTTTGAGAACTCAATGAAAACGTGGGAATGTAAGCATTCTGAAATCCAATCTATCCCACTACCCCACCTGGACTTCCAGGAATCTCAAGATAGCCTCTCTGATAGCGAGTATGCTCAGGTGCAGCACTTGGCTCGGCATGCAGAAAACCTCATTAGCAGGTAAGAGAACTAAACTTAAAACAGGGCTGGGAAACCTAAACATGGATAGGGAGACACAGTCCGTTGGTGTCTACTGACTACTGGGGCATTTAGCCTCAGAAAGAAATCTAAGTGTTTACAATTAGGGCCCTGACAGGCTGTGCAAGAAGTATTCTTTGTGATTAACAATAAGGCAGTTTTCACACTCCACATTCAAGCCAGAGGTGAATTTTTATTTCCCTCTGCTTTCCAAGACCCAGCAGGAATAAGGATGTTTATTCTGGGCCAGTAAAATGGTTCAGGAAATGAGGTGCTTCTCATCAAGCCTAGCCATCTATGTTTGATCCTTAGGGCCCCACATGATAGAAACAGAGATAGAGCCAACTCCTGCAACTTACACACACACAGACACACACTGGCATGCATGTGCAAATATACACAAACAAACAAAAGTTTGCTCTTGCCCTTAACTATCAGAAAGACCTTGAAGTTTCAGCAAGAGTCAGGCACGCTCCTTTATTTTAATTTCTCACTCTAATCAATCTAGCACTCTCTAAATCCAAGTTAAACAGGAACAAAGGTGACTACTTAGAGAAGATCAGCAACATCTCCTTCAGCTGATACCTAATGAAGAACAGAAATAGCAAGAGGGAAGAAAGAGTTCAAATCCAGTACCCAGGGTTTTTGTTTCGATTCTTATCCCAATCTGCCAGCTCCTCACACCATAAATCCAAAGCGACAAGCTCATCTGCTTTTGCTCTCTTACAGACTTACTGACCTGAGCAAGGTCCACCAGCATGTGTCTGTCCTCATGGATTCTGTGAATGCCAGTGCTAATATCCTGAACGATGTCTTCTATAGCCATGACAGTGCCAATGAGGCGGGTGCAGCTTCCTGTATTCCCATTGAGGTAAGGAGGGAAAAGAAGCGAATGAAATAAAGAAGCCAAACTTTCAAGGAAAAGGGGCTAAAAGGAAAGTGAAACAAAATTAAATTAAATGAGATTAAATGAGGAACAGGTGCGAGTGATAGGGTAGAAAACTGATGGGTAAAGTAGATAGGGATTGGGACTGTGGATTCCTAGGTGAAGTGCTTGTGCCGTGCAAGCATGAATAGCTGAATTATACCCCAAGCGCCCACAGTAACAGTCAGGCACGGCAGCGTGCATCTTAATCCCTCTACCTGAAGCAGAGACGGAAGGGTCTTGGAGGCTCCCTAGCCAGTCAGACTAGTCATATCAGTGAGTTCCAGCCCCAGGGGCAGACCCTGTCTCAAAAATGTAAGGTGGACGGTAATTGAGAAACACATCTCACACCCATCTCTGGCTTCTACCGGAACACACACACACACACACACACACACATGCACATACACATGTAACCACACAAAAATTGAAAAATAAAGTGATATGCTGGATAAGAATGCGGGCAGTCCTTGGATTGTTCCAAGGCCAAGGTGGCTGCTGGGGAAATGCCATGACAAATTTTATCATTTTGAGAAACAGTATTGTTCCTGGTAGCTAGCCCCAACATCAGACTCAAAGTGGAATAGTTAATAAATGGAAAGAAGCGTAGTCTTGGACCTTCCTAATGCCAGTTGACTCCCTGTATAATCATCTAAAGTTATACCTGTCATCGGAACCCAAGATCCAAGATGCTTTTAATTCCCTTTTGACGGGTCCAGATTAGACATTTACTATTAAATGTGCCATCCTATGCCAATACTCACTGCCATAAGATTTGGGTGTTTCTTTTAAAATGTAACTTTAGGTTTGGAGATGTACCTTAGTGACAGAGAATGGCCTTGAATATGGTCCCTGGTATATGTAAATATATACATACACACAGAGACAAACAGGCACACACACACACACACAGGAGGGGCAGGGAAGGAAGGAGGGGAGGAAAGGATGGAGAGAGACGTCGGGAGATGGAGGGAGAAGGGAGATGAAGAAGATGAGTAGAACTTCATTAAGAAGTAAAAATACAATAGGATCAGGATGTGTTCAAATATGAGTTAACTTTATTTTAGGCCGGGTCCTAGTCAAAGGAGGTCCAAAGGCTGTGAGTTTCAAGAAGAGATGTGTATGGTTAGATTTATTTCTGCGTGCCATGGGAAAGACACTTTTAACCTAGGGACAAGTCTCCTGATTTGCAAATTTCCCTCTGGTTTGCAAATTCCCTATTTTCCTGTTGCCCACTGCACACAATCAGTGACTCCCACTTTGCAGGACACAGCAATAGAGCTACATTGTTGACAGTTGACCATTGACAGCTGGGGTCAGTTCGGATTGGTTGGTGCTCATGCTGGGCCAGCTGTGCTGAATTTTTAATATGATGTTTCCACCTCCAGGCGTGTCCTGCTGGTCTGCTCCTACCTTCCCGTGGAGAAGCCAGCTGCATGCTCACTAACTGGCTCCTCTCTATCTTGTCCTTTCCCTTCCGCTCCTTTTCCTCTCTTCTCCTCTCAGACTCTAAGCAGAAACGATGCAGTAGATGTTGTATTTGGTCTAAAAGGGCTCTACGATGACACCAAAGCTTTCCTGGATGAAAACTTGGTGAGTGCAGCGGGCTGGAGCATGGGAGGGAAAACATCTCTTTTGAATATGGCCACATTCTGTATTGGTTTCCGTGGTGCTAGAGGCTTATGATCATTGTAAGTAGGTGATTGCCTGGTGATTCCAGTCATCCTGGTCGTGATAGCTGTCCTCCAGTATTTGTTACCTGAATGTGTTACTGTTTGTGTTATGGCAACCCATGGGGACTACCATATTTTAGATGAAATCGGTCAGTGTCTCCTGGGGAAAGACTAGGCCCACCAGATTCAGGGTGCTCTCATTCTACCTGGTAAAGCTTCAAGTGAGAAGAGTGAGCTCAGAGATGCTCTTCTCTCAGGTCTATAAGTGTCACCTTCTCCATGGAGAAAGTAGCAGGAAGTAGGGAAAGTTCTGAGGGCTGTGAGCTCAAATACAAATTAGCTACCTACCGTATTATCTCCCTAAGGCTGCCATGGGTAAGTACCAAGTACTATATGACTTTAAATAACAGAATCTTACTATCTCATCATTCTGGAAATTCTAACATTCAAACCCAAATTGTAAGCAGGCTCATGATCCCTCTAAAAGCCCTAGAGGAAACTTTCTTTGCTTTTTCTTAGCTCTGGCCATTTGTTTCTGGCAATCATTGTTGATCCTTAACTTATAAACACTCCACTCTTGTCTTGTTTTGCATCTTCAATGTCTCTGTCTTCACATGGCCATATTCTTCCAGGGTCACTGATAGTGATGGACTAAGGCCTGCCCTGTCTAGTATGACCTCAAATTAATAGGGAGTTATAAATTCAATGACTACCATTTCACATAAGTATGCATTCTGAAGTAGTAGAGAATAGGATTTTAATGTATCTCTTGAGAAGAACACAACACAACCCACAACATTAGCAGTGTAGCTATACCTCTTTGCATTCGTTTCCCCTATCTCCAAGATAGGAATTAGAACCCCTACCTTTACAGTTTGTTTAGAGGATTTATATAAACAACAAAGTATTGTACCTTAACTGCCTACCAGTACTCGGTACATAACTGTGGCTCAAAAGATGGACTGGGGGTATGAACTATGACTCTGAGGACGGCATTAGCCACATGTTTCTCATAATGTTATGTTCATGCACGGGCACAGTGGGACGGTACTCTGATAAAATCCACTGCTCATAACTGTCCCACTTTGATGTTGTCCCTGAGGCAGGTGTTGTACTTGCTTTTGATCTAATTAAAGTTTAATTTGAAGAAGAGCTTCTGGGTTGAAATTGCAAGAAGACCCACTGCCTCTTTCCCTTACATATCTAATTGTCACACTGCCTCAGAAGCAGAATGGCTAAAACACTCAGACCACATCGTTCCATCATCTGGGCCCCAAGCCTAGGGGCTTTTAGCTTCGGACAATTTCAATTGGAATTCTGAACTCAATGTCATCCTCAATTCCATCATCAGTAAATATGGGAAGTTGGCCTCTTGTAGCTACTTAGGCTTTCTTGAAGCTCATAGATTGAAAATTGAGCCATGTTAGGAAACAGCCTAACTTGAACATACTCTACCATGAGTTCTCAGAAGGCTTCCTTTATATGGGACCTTTGAGGTTCCACATCTGTGTGCACATCAAAATGAGGGTAGCAGGGACAATGCACAGTATGACCGTGCATCTCTAGGAAGGCTGTCACGGACATGCGATGGGTACAAATCATGTTTCATTTGGAGATTATTCCTCCTATTGAGAAGGTATGGCAGTAAAAAAGAGTAATTTCAGCAGAGGAGCTGTATTAGCTTCCCATTGCTGTAATGAACACCCAAGATAATCAATATCCAAAGAGAAAGCTTTGTTTTGGCTCAACCACGATGGTTTGCTCCTTTGCTTTCAGGCTATGGCAAGGCAGCACATTGTGGTGAAAACCATGTGGTCGATTAAAGCTGCTCAGCTCATGGCTAGGAATGAAAAGGGGTGACTAAGGCCCCACTGTTTCTCTCAAAAGCATGGTCACAATGACCAGAATACTTCTGACTGGGATACACTTCTTAAATGCTCCACCACCTCAGCAGTCTGAGACTTAAGCCTATAACACCTGGACCTTTAGAGAACATTCTAGGTAAACTGTAATAGGGATATTGCTTTAAAAAAATGATGTGAATCCCACTCAGTAATTCCCACTTCCCTTATTTGGCATGTGTTTGGCACATCCATCTGAGTCATGCTGTATTGTCTTAAGTTGTAGGGATGGACAAATTATTTGTTAGTGTTGATTTGTAACCTCCCATTCCACTCTCTGCCCATCCAGTTGCCACACGTTTCTGGCACTAGCTATTGCTACAGCAGTAAGCATCCCATAAATAGAAAGGGACCCCAACAGACATGCCAAACTGGAAGTAGAGTGCATGGTAGAGATGAGTGGTGAGTCCTGGTTGGATTGCTGTGTGCTTTCAAGGCTATGCACACCAGTGTGCTTCCATGTGTCCAGACTATTCCCTGGTGAAATAGGAATGGTCTCCCTGTACTGCTGATTTAGAACGTGGAGGTGCTCGCCAAAGAATCTTATGTCTCCCATGCACCACACAGAGTTTATCTTCTGTATGCTGGGAGGTTATTATCAGTAACCATTTAGGTTTTGATTTTTAAACATACAGGGCAAGCTGTCTGCAAACATGTTTCTTTTTTATTTTTTTTGGAAACATGTTTCTTATTTATTTATTTATTTGCAAACATGTTTCTTAATCGTGGAAATAACTAGAAGCTCCAGAACAACCTAGAGAGGCAGACCCTTTACCTGGAAGGGAGAAGTTGAGGCATTCTTTCCCTAACCTTCTCACCTTGATTTACAAACTTTTAAATTATAGTGTATAATAACTATTCCCTCTTGCATCCGGATATTCTACATACCCTGCAGGACAGTATTGTATAAACGGGAGGCTACTAAGTTAGGCAGATTCTGTCTAGCCCTGGAATCCTTTTTTTTTTTAAACTAATTTAGCCTCTCAAATATTACATCCCAACCATGGTTTCCCCTTCCTCCTCTTCTTGTCGCTCTCCGTTCCCCTTCCTCTCCTCCTCCATTTCCCTTGAGAAAAGGGCAGGCCTCCCAGGGCTATCCACCAAACATTTGTCATGTAATCTTGAACGCTAAACTTCTTTGATTATGCTTTCTTACCTATGAAATAAAAAAAAAAAAAAGCATCCCTTGTAAGGTATTGCGAGACTATTGGGGAGAGTAAGAGGAATTATGTATTCACAGTACCTGATATACACAGTTGCTCAGAACTTAGTGGTAGCTCTTACTTAGGAGGATGCTGATATGGCTTCAGAGACTGGAAGTCAAGAGTGGAACTCTTGTTGTAGACATTAAGCTCAAGCAGAAATCACGGTGCTAATTCATGCTGGAGAAAAGACCTTCACTTGTGAAACCGAGCATGCCCAGCTCCAAAGAGACCTCTGCCATCTGACTATTTCCTGGGTCTTCTTGTTGAAAAGAGAGCTGTCGAAAGCTAGTATTATTTTTGATCAGTAAACAATCTGATTGTAGGCCAAATGAGCTATAATTTGTCAGCATTCTAAGTGTGTTGTTACCTGCATGGACTCATAGTGGAGTCGAAGGCAAAGTGCTAAGAAATGTGCACTCACTGTTCTCCCTGTCCATGCCAGCTGAGAGATGCTATGGATGAGGCCACCCTAAAAACTGTCCTGGATGCCATGAATACGGAGCTGCAAAGGACATTAACAATTGACTGGTTGGGTCAAATCCTTCTTTCAGAGGTGGGTATCCTGGGGAATGGGACTTTCTGGTTTAAAGTCATAGTATGGGGTCAGTAGATGGGACGGATGTCGCAGAGCCCATCCTGATGCAGCGACCTTTAGCTTCCGCATTAATGAACCATCCTCTCTCCATACCCTCACCATTAATGGACAGAACAAGGCAGCAAAAATGAACAAGGAGGTGACCATGGAAAAATAACCAGGAAGAAGACCATTCTAAAGCAAGAAAAAAAAAAAAACAGATAAAGCTCATGTTGCTGTCTAGGCTACACGTTCTCCTTGCTCAGTGTCTGCTGCCAGAACTAAACCGTATCTGGTACATACTAGCATAGACACACCAGGTGTTTGTGGATAGCTGTTGTAAATGGTTGATATCTAGGCCGCACTGGTAGTTGAGTCTTCCAAACACCTCATCTTCCTGTTGCTACCTGACCCCCATTGCATCTCACATTTAATATGTGGCATAAAAGGAAAATCAAACATTGCAACCGATATAATATAGTTTCAGAGATGCTGTCAATTTTGGACTACTTTGAGTACTCTTTTAAGATTGGAAACTTTCATATTCACTCATAAACCAAATATCCCAAAGATGGCCACCTATAACAAAGTAAAGTATTTCCTTCATGATCTGACAGAGATTGTCTCAAAAATTTTTCACTGTAAAAATATTCATCCCAAATTTTAGGATCCCTGCCTGCCTTCTCACATCTGTTTTTTTGAATCCAAATGCCAGGCATGTTTGGGATGGTGCAGATGCAAGGCCACTATTTCAGAAGGAAATTCATATGCAAATTCAAGTCTAAAACAATGGTTCTCAACCTGTGGGTCGAGGCCACAGAACCCATTAGAAAACACAGGTGTTCACATTATGATTCATCGCAGTAGCAAAATTACAGTTCATGAAGTAGCAAAGAAATATTTTTATGGTTGGGGTCACCATAAACTGAGAAAACTACTTTTAAGGGTCACAGCATTAGGAAGGCTGAGAACCACTCATTATCTTAAAAGGTTTACCAATCTTTGGTGAATACAAGGCCTGGTGTAACTCAGGTTTTTATCAGTAACTTTCTGGGGAAGGAAGACAGTCTGTTAGACAATAAGAAAAGCAAATTCTCACTCTTCTTTCCGTTACTACCTGCCTCCATTAATTCCCATTAAGCTCCCGAGCTAAGCAAACTCACTGGATAGTGAGAGAAATGGGGCAAATTCAGCCTGTACCCTGGGGTCCCGGTTCCCATGTGACTCTTCCTCACCCGGGACAGAAAGCAAAGCCCTGGAGAAAGGAAGCAGACTGAACAGAAGCCAAGGAGATGTTGCTCACACTAAATACCCTTACCTTGAGATTACAGAAGGTTCAGACCCACTTTTCTGGGGGAGATCAGGACAAGAGTCAATTATTGATCTTTTCAAGACTCTAACTGAGGGTAAGGGCCTGTGCTCATTCTTGAAGCTGTTTATACAGGGCAGTTCTGGATGTCAGGGTATACAGCTGGGAGCAGCATTAGAGAAGCAAGGGAGTCAGTGCAGGAAGAGGAGGAAGATAAATTTGGACTCTTCCCCCGATGGAAGGTACTGGAGGCATAACTAATCCTCAAAGGAAGATGACTCCAAAACCTCTTTCTTGTAATGTGTTTGGCTAGATTTTCTGGCAATAAATCAACTTCAGGATCGTCTTGCTAGCAACAGAAGTAAAATAAGAATGCTTTTACATAAACAAGATAGAAGTTGGAGAATGAACTGGAATTACAGAGCCTGTGTTGTCTGCACAAATGAACTCACATTCAAAATTAGTAAGTTTGTTTAGAGAATCCTTTGCATCCCAGCCAAGAAAACAGGTCGCCTGTGAGGCAGTGTCTTCCCTATATGAGGAGGCTGGGCTGAGGGACAAATAGGGGCTCTCAGCTAGAGGTGGGAAAAATGGGAGACATTTCCTAATTTGTAAAGAACTGTCATACAAGCAACAGTGACCTCAACAATCCAGGTGACCTCACATACAAAGGTCAAACTCTGAACCTATGCTTTTTTGTTTTTTTTCCTTTCTTTTTTTTTCTCAACAAACTTGGAAGAGTGTACATCTTTGTTTGCTTCCTCCTCCTCCTCCTCCTCCTCCTCTTCCTCCTCCACCGCCTTCTCCACCGCCTTCTCCTCCCCTACCCCTGTTTGCACAACCATGCCTTAACTCTGAGTACTTGCTGCTTGCTGATTTTCTAATCCAGAAATGATAGTATTCATTTTCCAGGTTGTTTTGAGTTTGTGTAAGGAGCATTTATTGATATATCCAGAAAGGCAGAGGGCCCAGAGTGGGCGCTTGCAGAAGCTCAATCTCTTTATTAGGACGTATGAATAGTGAGGAGGGACAGCTCTCCTACCTGAGCTGAGAGGAGCTTTGCCTGCTTTCCGAATTCCTCTTTCTCCATCACACTAGAGAGCCCATAGCAATGCTTTCAGAAGGTCACCTAACATTCTGATCTGACTCTTGCTATGCTTTCCCAGGCGCACTCTTCTGACCGCAGAAGTCTATATCGCAGGTTGAAAGACAGATTCCCTAGGTTGGGGAAGAAGAAACGAGAAGGGGGAGAAAAGTCGAAATCAAAGCCAAGACTCCCTGGTTTTCTCAGTAAGTCAATCACACACACGTAGAGGGCATGAACGACAGCTTGGATACCTCCAAGAGACCTGAAAGTACCCTCAGAAGTGTTCATGGGTGTGTCAGAGAGGGAGGCTCTGGGAAGAAGCCAGTATTAGATAATGCCAAGTAAGTTAGAGAATGAGATGGATTCTGGCTAGTAAGGGGTGAACCTGAGAACGAATGGTGCTGTGTGGGCTGGAAAGGGAAAACCGCATTCAGACTGCTTGACCCATTCATGCCTAACATCCCTAAGATGTTAGGGAAAGGTTTTTGCCCTGTCAAAAATCCCTTCTCCCTGCTAGAGTCCCTGGATATGCAAATCTCCTACTATATAAATTTTGTTTTGATGCCATTCTATTTATTACTGGCCTGAAGTACTGTGACTGGGAAAGGACCATGAAAAGAAATGTGAATGGGACTCAAAAGAAGACTCTACGAGAATTGTTGGTTGTCCCAATTCTGATGTGCTTAGGCAACATGGAAGCTTCAAAAATATAGCATTAGCAGACATGTGAAAACAGTTTTAGTTTTAATGAATAGGATTATTTTTTCTGATGTCAAGAGAAAATCTTTTGGACCTAACTATATCTTTTCTTGGGTATGGTCCAACTGGTTTGATTCCTTAAGAATCTGACAATTGGAAATCTCTGGTATGAGTGCATAGTAGTGCCATAGATAATCGGTTCTAAGAATTAATCCTATTTGCATTTAGTTTGTATGGTCTCCAGTGGCTTCCTCTTTGATTCAGAGATGGTAGCTACAGTAGGAACAAACTAGTATGTCTCCTACTATTCTGCCCCCTCTCGGGCATGAACATCTATGCATTTGGCAAAGTACTAACTTCATTATTTCTCTTACCTCCCCCCTTTGGCTCTGAAGGCAGGTTCTGGCATCGCAGAAATCGTGGCAATGAAGCAGAAAATGATGACTCTTCAACACCTTCAAGTTCTCAGCTATAGTCCTTGAAAACTGGAAGAACTCTCAACAGAGAATTTTACTAAAAACTCTCAAAACCTCAAGAAAGACTGAACTATATTATATCAGAACAAAAATGAGCACCACCAAGAAAGACCCTCCAAATCCTTATACTAATATATTTTCCCTGGACTTAATCAGATCTCCTTAGAGGGTTATATTTTTCTTGTTGGCCAAAGATTCTTGTTCCGAGTTGTTTTGTTCAGTTCTCCTTCTCTTTGTGTACCTTGAGTAACCACAGTTTATTAGGGATAGATTCTTTGTGAACAACCTGGGACCGATAAGTATTGTGGTAGTACACCTCTTTAGAAAGTGTTGGAATGGGTTTCTTTCACTAGCAGAGAAACTCCTGACACCAAGGAATGAAATGAGTAACCAACTCTCAGAAAGATGAAGGGGCGGGGCATTCAGGCTTGGTTGTGTTTCTCCTCCAATCCCTGCCAAATGCAAATGGAAATTTCAAAAGATGGCTCCTAGTTGGCTCAAGAAGATGAGAACACGGTCCTGGAGGCTTGTCCATTTGTATGTTAAAATGATCATGTGAACATTTTCTTGTAGATATGAACCTCTCCTTTTTCCTCTCCTCTCCTCTCCTCTCCTCTCCTCTCCTCTCCTCTCCTCTCCTCTCCTCTCCTCTCCTCTCCTCCCCTCCCCTCCCCTCTCCTCCCCTTCCCTCCCCTTCCCTCCCCTTCCCTCTCCTTTTCACCACTCCTCTTTCCTTTTATTTTCTCTCCTTTCTTCTTCTCTTCCTCACTAACCTTCCATCCCATCTTGTTTCCCCTCTCTCCCCTTCTTCTCCTCTTTCCCCATAGACTCTTCATGTTTTCCCATGTGTACATATATGTCTTCGCACATGTCGAGGTGGTGCTCTCGTGGCTGGGTGGGCCCACTGGTTGGAACTCACCCCTCATGGCAACCATACCTTTACCTTTACCTTGATCCTAGCCTGCATGCCTCCATGGAGTGCTTGCCTGCATTCTCACTGGATTTTTTAACTAAATGTTTTGCCGTTGTGCCGCAGTATAGATTATATACAGAGACATAAAGATGTAAATATATATATATATATTTTTAGGAACTGAAAATACAACTCGACCTAAGTGACCCTCTAATTTATTGTGATAGCCCAGTAATCCTTCCCCTTCCCTATTACCCTACACAAATACACAGCTCTACCAACTGCCCTAGTTCTTGGTAGAGCTTCTAAACTTTTGGTGCATTTGTAGTGTCTTTGAAGTAGCTGGAGTCTACAGATAGCCCAGCTAATTCTGACATCCACTTAAAATACAGAGCCAGGTCACAGAAAGGGAACAAAAACACCAACGCCCTGCAGAGGGGCCAAGCTGGCATGCTGCCATTTTCTCTGTTTCTCCTGGCTCTGTATCAGCAACTTCCCAAGTTTTAATGCCCTCTTCCCCAGTAAAAATAATTTCAAAGAGTCCCACCCTTTAGATATCTAAGTTAGGGCCTACTAACCCACCATAGCCTGTGCCCTTCCCTATAAGCTTAATTTGAATCTTTTTAAGTGTACAATCTCGGTTAGGTAAATCTAATGAAAGTCCAGTGCTCAGAGAGAATGTCTCGGGCCTGCCGCTCATCCCCACCCTCAAGTCATACCTTTTGGAAAGTGTCCCTTTCCACTTCTCAAGAAAAAAAATCCAGACAACTGCCCTCTTCTCACTGCTCAGTCAAACTTAGTGTGCTCAATTAATCTGACTCAGTCCAATGGCTGGTTCACTGAGGTGCACAATCCAGAGGCCGATCACTGGTTCTCAACTTTGTAGAATTCCACCAGCCGAACCCTCTTAAACCAGCTGCCTGTGTTCCACCTCTTCAAGGGTGAGAAAAAGAGACTAACAACGGGGTATTCCCCCCAATGTCTGATAGCTTTGCCAAACAAAACTGTCCTAGCTATACAGCTAGAGAAGAAACTCAATGGGAAAAGATGACAGCAAACATTTCAAACTTAAATATCAGAATGTGTAATATGATGACAGTGTATATATTTAAGTGGAGAGTGCAGTTGCAATGTCTTTGGTTTTCTCTTATCACTTTCTTCGAAGGAGGAGTTATCAGATCAAACCACCAAGGTCATTGTTCTCCTTCGCAGCAGGAACTAATGCCTGTGCGAGAGCACACTCACACAGTTGGGAACAGTGTTGAATTTTCTCAGAAAAGTCTTTACCAAAATGGATCATTTGTAAATAAGCAAATTTAAAGAAACAGAAGGAAATCTTGGGAAACAGTAGCCTTACCTTGGTAATGACTAAGCAGGGCTATGTCTTGTAATTATTTTGATCACAAGTGATAGTCAAACATAATAGGAATCCATCTGTGCTTATTTTGCTGAAGTGCTGTAGGTATTTGCGTACTGTGAAGCTGCTGTTGCTCTGTTGTACCATCTGAAGTCCCGCTCATTTCCCACCCGGTCCTCTCATTTGAGTCAGAATAACATTGAAGGACACCTATAGGATGGGGACTAGAAGCAAATGTGGAGCAAAACTGATAAGCTAACGAGGAAGTGTGGCTTCTTAAAATGTTCCAGATACCATCAAAATTGTTTATTACTAATTGTTTCCTGAAAAGGAAGCTGGTATACTAAGAACTTGTTCACACATCTACTTGGAAACAAAAGAAGAGAGCTCTCTCTCTGTCTCCCTCTCCCATTCTCTCTCTCTCTCTCTCTCTCTCTCTCTCTCTCTCTCTCTCTCTCTCTCCTCTCCCTCCCCCCCTCTCTCTCTCTCTCTCCCCCCCTCTCCCTCCCTCTCTCTCCCACTCTCTCTCGCTCTCTCTCTCTCTCTCTCTCTCTCTCTCTCTCTCTCTCTCTCTCTCTCTCTCTCTTCCTTAGCCCTTGAGAACATGGGCTCCTTTCAGGATTTCATTGTTAACTATTTGAAGTAATACAGTTGCTCAGGTGGTGGGACCCGACACCAAGTATCCACCACAGTTATGTACAGAAATCATTAAGAATCAAAGCTCTGGGGTTTGATTGTATCTTTGGTATCACTGTCTGTAGAATTGATTGAGTGTCTAATTCTTGGCCAGAAGGACAGCAGGAAAGGAAAAATCTGAATAGAGTTAAGTTGTCACCAACTTCTGGCATCGATACTGTAAGAGGCCTAAAGCTATCCATCAAAGTCCTCTACTACACCCAAAGGGCAAGGGAAGGATATTTTCAGCATACTAAAGGTTGACCAGAAGAAACAACTGGGGATCAACATCATATTCCCTTTGGACACAGTAGAATTTTAGTTGTATAACAGACAGAAAGTAATACCAAAGACATCAGACACCTATAGTATGGGGACTAGAAGCAAATGTCTTTTTTTGCTTCTGAAGAAGAAAAGACATCAGACACCATTCACATCTTTCCACTGCATAAGGGACTTGATTGGCTATCTGGTTTGTGGAGTTGCATTTGTTTGCTAATCTGTAACACATTGTTGTTTACTATTTTATGTTCTGTGTTTTCTCAGAGGCCCTGCAAATAGTAGCAGGGCGAGGGCCTGGTCAAAGGAGGAAGCTGGAATAGTCATGGAATAACAGAAAAGAAAACACAAAAGGAAAAGACCCACAAAGCGTGCCTATTCCTCTTAGCCCTCCTCATCAAATGGAACACCAGTCCTCAAAGTCAATTCAGTGATTGCTTCTTAAAGTGTTTTAATAAATGGATAAATATCGACAATACCTACATCTCATCATTTCTTTCGACAGGGTAGGGGAGCGGTTGGATGGGACTTGATGTGAGTTAGTGGACTGGGGTGGTCCTTCAAGCTCTCCATAGGTCACCCACAGGTACCAGTGGAAGGAAAGACCAGGCAACAAAACACAAATCAAGACTGGCACTAAAGGTGCTGCTGAAACTGGTTATAAAACCTAGCTGCAAAGTAGCATATTTCTATGGGAAAATACGGGTTGCCATTATTGCTCTAGATGCCACTTCAATGTGATACACAGACAGATCTCAGGAAAGTCAGGTAGTGGAGGGGCAGAGTAAGATGAAGGAGTATACCCTAGGCTGCTATAAAGAAGTCAAAGACAGCTTGAAAGCACTTTAAAATGCAGTGTGCTCTCCTAACACAAACAATAAATGCTTCTCTCCCCTCCAAAGGTGTTTAAAGTTGCAAGGATTCTCTTCAGAACCACAACTGAAAATAGTGTAGGGTCACTGAGATGGAACAGCAGGTGAAGGGGCTTGCTGCCATGTCTGATGATCTGAGTTCAGTCTCTAGAACACACATGACTCCCATATGTTATCCTCTGATCAGACACATGCGCTGCACCATGTACACACACACACACACACACACACACTGTAATAAAAATGCTTTAATTCCTGGCACATAGTTGCAGTCATCTTGTGAATTCAGATGTTAATTACATTCACTGCACAGGCAACTAGGGATATAGCAGACCAGGATTTTACATAAAGTAAGGGTAAGAATTCAAGTCATAAATCCTTAACTGGCCAAATGCTAAAAATGATTGTTCATTTGGAGACAATGCATTTTTAACAGGACCACATTTCAGGCTATCCTTATATATATATAAAAAAAAAAAACTCCTGGGCTTTGCGGGTGGGTGGTAAACTGTTCTGCTGTGGAGGATATAGCAGGCTGGACCCTGTGATCCATATTAAGACTTTTGTTTTGCATATAGAAGACTGTTGAACACTATTATAATTGGACATCTTATCTCAGTCAGAATAGCCAAGATCAACAAAACAACTGAAAAAAAAATGTTGGCAAGGATGGGAGCCAGGAACCCTCATTCACCTTTGCTGGGATAAAAAAACTAGTCAAGGTAATCTGAAGTCACTGTGGAGAGTTCTCAGAAAGGTAAATGTAAATATACCATTACTCAACTATTCCACTCCTTGGCATATGCCCAAAGGACTCGACATCATACTCCACAGATACTTGTTCATAGCTGTCCTGTTCTCAATAGCTAGAAAATGGAACCAGTCTGAATGTCCTTCAAGTGATAAATAGATACTGAATATGTGGTTACATACACACAATGGAATACCATTCAGCTGTATATAAAAATGAAATCATGAACTTCCTGGATAAACAGGTGAAACTAGAATGAATTATACTAAGGGAGACAATCCAGCCCCAGAAAGACATATACTGCACTTCTCTCTCCACTGTGATCCCTATCTCCCAATCTTTGGCAACTAGATAGAAACTAGAATAACCACATAAACCATGGAAGTAAAAAGAGATTATGGGTGGGGAAAGAGCTCATGAGAGTAGGATGAAGGTTACAGGTGATATACAGAGGAAAACAGACAAAATGAGAGTGGGGTTTAATTTGGGACGAGGGAGGGAGATAATACAAAGGAAAGGGAGGAAAGGATAGATGACACTGTGGGTGTCTAAAATAGAGATAGTCATGTTCGTTTTAGCTAAAATTACATATAGCATATAAATATGTGGATATAAATACATAGTTTAAATGAAGTTATGCTACTTGGGATGATAGTGCTGTCCC